GTCGTGTCTGACTCTAGGGCATGGTACCCATCTTCATTTTTTTGGCCGAGGGAGCCAGCATTGTCTGAAGACATTTTCCATGGTCATATGGCTAACATGGCTATACACCAAAGGTGCACAGAACACTCTTATCTTCCTACTAAAGTGGTACCTATTAACCTACTTGCATTTGCATGCTTTCAAACTGTGAGGTAAGCAAGAGTTGGGGCAGCAATGGGAGCTCACCCCATTGCATGGATCTCAGATCTCAAACCTGGGCTATCAGCCTTCCAGCTGACAAGCTCAGCATCTCAGATCTTATCATCCTTATATAACTAGCAGTTTTATTCAATAAATATAACTGTAAAATATTGAAAGTTGACTATTTATTATAATGGAGAATTTAATTAAATTGTTTGTTCCTTTACATTCACCCTCTATATTCTGTGCCTATGTAGTCTCTACAAAATTAGTCACAACACCGTCCATGGTAGTGTTTTGGGTATTTGTGCCTTCTCGTTGTAGAGCAAGGGCTGTTGGGGACTATACATTCAAAATTGTTTTCCTTACATAGTACAGAGTATGCATTCAAAAATGTATAGTTTATATTATGTAAGGAAAACAATTTATTTTGTGTTTTTCATTATTGTGAGGGAAATCTAATTTTTAAGGAAATAACTTTATTAAATTCCAACCATATAGGTACAGTATCTAAATTAAGATAATTAAGATGGGTTTTCAGTCTGCCAAATTGTTCTTAACAGTATAAGGTCTTTTTCTCATCTGATTTTTTTAAAAAACCAGTTTCCTTAGGGTATTGGCAGAGATACAAAAGAGATATCTAGGCCATTGGGATACTACTATGTAATCAGAAGTAATGTAATTACTTTGAACATATGACAGAGCATATGCTGGGACTATGTTTCATGTGATCTAGAAGAATAATTCATAAATTATTTATAGAAATGTGACTAGCTTGCTGACAGGAAAGAGAGCATTAAACAATAAAAATGGACATGCATGCTGTTGCAATATTTTAATTGCAATTTTAAAGTGATTAACTTTGTAGAGCAGTTTCCCCAACTTCTTGCCTTCTTGTTGAGCGTCAGTTTAACCAAGTAGATCAGACAAGAAACATGATCAGATAAGCTAGTTCATTATTGCAAAGTTATTATTAACAGAATCTTGCAATTCTGAACTTATCTTCCTGCAATCACTCTGTATTTACACGCAGAGAACTTTAGGAGCTGTGGTGGCAGTGGTTAGAATGCAGTATTGCAGGCTAACTCTGCCTACAGCAGGAGTTCAATTCTTACCTGCTCAAGGTTGACTCAGCCTTCCATCCTTTCAAGCTTGGTAAAATGAGGACCCAGATTGTTGGGGGCAATATGCTGATATTGTAAACTTCTCAGAGAATCCTGTAAAGCACAATGGAATGATATATAAGTCTAAGACTGTGGTATTGCTATTTTCTGAGCCTCTTCCTCCAACCACTATGCAATCGCAGGCTGTGCGGTCTCTTATCTGACCCTTTCCTAAGCGGCATCTCTTTGCCCATCTCCCAGATTCTTTCCCACATGCCATTAGAGTAGGGGTCCCCAACCCCCGGACCATGGCCCACTATCAGGCCATGGCCTGTTCGGAACCAGGCCGCACAAATGACAGGTGAGTTCACATACACATGCATGAAGCTTCACTTGCATGAGCAGTGATCACCTGCTCTTGTGTGTGAAGCTCCACTTGCATGTGGTGGGTGCTTGCGCACAAAGCTCCATTCGTGCAAGTGGTGGGCCCAGGCACCCACCGCTCACAGATGGAACTGTGCGCGCTCATGCACGCAGACCTTACCATTTATATGGAACCATTCCCTTTCTCTCCCCCCCCAACCAGGTCGCCAAGCCAGAAAGATTGAGGACCACTGAGTTAGACAAAAAGCCCTCTGAGCCCTCTCTACCAGTCAACATATTGGAATTTGTAACTTAACAAGTCTGTTGGAGAAAGTTGCTGGCCATGGCCTGTTTGGAACTGGGCTGCGCAAGAGGCAGGTGAGCATGTGTATGTGAAGCTCCACTCGCATGGGACCATCCCCTCCCCCCACATACACTGGGTCGCCAAGCTGGAAAAATTGAGGACAACTGATCTATAGGGTGATATAACAACAACAAAAACACTTTGGAAGGGACCTTGGAGGTCATCTAGTCCAACCCCCCTGCTCAGGCAGGAAACCTTACACCATTTCAGACAAATGGCTGTCCAGTCTCTTCTTAAAAACTTCCAGTGTTGGAGCATAAGTTGTGAATGCTTCAACACTGGAAATTTTTAAGAAGAGACTGGACAACCATTTGTCTGAAATGGTATAGGGTTTCCTGCCTGAACAGGGGATTGGACTAGATGACCTCCAAGGTCCCTTCCAACTCTTATTATTGTTATTATTATTATTATAAAATCACACTATAGATCAGTTATCCCCAACTTTTCCAGCTTGGCGACCTGGTGTATGTGGCGGGAAGGGATGGTCCATGCGAGCGGAGCTTCATACACACATGCTCATCTGCCTCTTGTGCAGCCCAGTTCCAAACAGGCCATGGCCTGGTAGTGGGCCGTAGCCTGGGAGTAGGGAACCCGTCATAGATGAAGAGTTTCTAATTCTGAAATTCAGTATCTTAAAATATGTAGGATTAGCATGGAACATGCTGGAAAGTGACTGTCAAGACATTTGTGTTTGTTGGGAGGGGCAACTGGGTTAACAAAGTTTGGTATCATCAGGCGCTTGCCAAAACCCACCTGTTGACATCCTAAAAATGTGGCCCTATGTTGCCTATATCTTGCTCATACTGTTCAGTTGCTAGTTCTGGTCAAGAGAGCAGTAAATCAAGGAAGGGGAAAAGGAAAATGAAATTCTGGCCATCTATCCTTTTCCTCAGGCTGCTTGCCAAACTGGGTTCAAAAGAGGGGAAATGCAATGGAGGGGGTCACAATTAGGAAATACCCAGCGATACAGCTATTTATCTACCACTCCACACATTACAACTGCCTATCTCTTCAGATATGACAAACTGCTTTAGAGTACAACACACACAGATGGCATTGTATGGATAACAATCCAAAATTCCCCAGCTAGCTTGAAGGGCACCAGACTGAGGAAGGCTATTTTAAAAGAATGTGTCTTTCCTTGCCATATAACCTTTAAGGAACGCCTTCCTTGAAGGTGTTTACCAAAAAACCATGGAAATCTTTGGGAGCCAATATTAAGTTCCTCTTCATTCATTAGTTTTACTTACTTATTGCTCCCTCTTCAGTTGGAAGCACAGGGTAATTAATTTGAAGAGCAATAATAGTAATATTGAGATCCAAAATGTTTCCTTGAATACTTTACTATGAATGGGAGTCTAATTGCTCAATGCCTTCACCCATAAAGTGATCGTCAATAAAAGCAATTAGATGTGCCTTACAGAATGCATTTTCTTGGTATTCCCAATGAATGCAATGCATCTCTCTAGGGCTCTATAACTCTTTTAGCTTTGAGTAAGTACCAGCCAACTTTTTTATTATGCTACCAGAATTCTACTTCCCTTGTCAGGTAATTAAATGGTAAAATGTTAATGCTCCCTCTCCAGCAAGCACCATTCTAAGGATTTCATTATCAATTTATGAACCATGACTATAAATCCTTTGCAAAGGTATTTGAAGACTGTATTGTAAAACAAAATAAAAATGCAAATGAATAAATACAGCTCAGTGAAAGATCTGCAACCAGATATGTCATCTTTTGTTTTTAGAAATGCAAATAACTTCACTGAATGGCTACTTTGAAGTAAGCATTCCGCAAGTCTCTTCGTCTCTTCCTCAACTTATGACTTCCTTCAAGCTAATGCATCAGATGCACACTCAAGAGCTTTATTGGCATCCCAAAGAAAAGTGCTTATGAGTTACTAAAATGTTTTACTAAATGTTTCTGTTCTGGATCTGGGGGGAAAAAACCTCAAAACTACACTCCTTTGCTATTTCCTCCATTACAGCATGGGATACATCTCCATTTGGCTTTGTAATTAATTATCTATTGAAAATTAAATATGAATCTCCCTTTTGCTATTCACATCGTTCCATTTAAAATAAATTTCCTCCAATAGAGAAGTATTTTATTTCTTCTCCTTTCCATTATAATCAATGCCAAATTTACTGTCAATGCTGGACCTTTATTTTAACACTACTAGTTGCAAGCAAAAATATAGCCTATAGCTACAGACCAAATTTCTTTTAAGAGCCAATTGCCTAGTGGTTAGGACATCAGATAAGAAACTGGGAGACCATGAGTTTTTTTCCTCTTAGGTACAAAGCCAGCTGAGTGACCTTGGGCCAGTCCCTTTCTCTCAGCCCTAGGAAGGAGGCAATGGCAACCCACTTCCGAAAATCCTTGCCAAGAAAACTGCAGAGACTTGTCCAGGCAGTCTCTGAAAACTGGACACAACTGAACAGAAGAAAAAAACTTTCTTTTAAACACTGTTCAGAACAATGACATAAAAACCACAGTATTCTTAGTTTATGTGTATTGCAGGTTGTACTCATATTGCACAATTTTGCTGAGAATTTAAGATGGTATCCCGTAATTTTAATATTATAACACAGTAAGCTGACTGGGTTGAGTGAGATTGGCCATAAGGTAGCCAGTGAGCTCCATTAGAAATTTGCCTGTATTTTTCTGAGGAAAACCAACCCCTTAGCCACTATTCCATAGTTACAATAGCAAACATTAAGTATTGTGTAATTTCAAAGGAATCACAAGAAAATAGAAAAAGTATGGCAGCAGCTTTTATTTTCCAGCTTTTGCCCTATTTCTAGCAAGTCAAGGCATTCTATTTATACTCCAGGGAGTGGCTATTTGGGTATTCCCCAATCTTTTAGGATGCAAAGCAACTCAATAACTCCGAACCTTCCCTTCAATAGGAAACTCTAGTATGCAACCAGATGCACGCAAACAATATGAAGAACACCAGGACAGATTTGCGCAGGAGCGATTTTATTTTTATTGTTCTTCTTTTGCATTGAATGGAGTTGCCTTACTAATCCTCTGCAAATTTATCATTTATCCTCATATGGCTATATCATAAAGAACAGTAATAAGCCTAATATTATATAATCTAGGCAGCACAAAAAAGGTTTTTCGAATCCAGAAAACCCAGGTGCTTCAATTCCATCTGATGTTGAAGCCACATCAGATGTACCATTAAATGAAAAGAAACCTGCTAATGAATCTGGCAGATTATTAAAGCCAACTGCATAGGCAGCAGCCAAAGAAAATACAGTACCTAAGGCTTATTACCAAGTTTATATTCAGACTTTTAGTGTTCCAAGAATGAGTGCTGAATAACCATTATTTTCAACATAACGTTTTGTTTTCAAACTAAAAATTTCCATTTTGGTATTAATAAATCAAGAATATTCTTTAGTAGAAATGAATCCAATAATTCTGAAGCATTGTTGGTGACCCATAAAGAAAATTAAACTTAGTCCAAGGATTTGGTCGTAGTACATATGTTAACAAATGTAGAAAAACAAATAGAAAGAGCATCTGTAGAACGTGTGCTACATATTAAGAAATTCCATGGGTGGCGGTCTTAATGGGACATTTCCCAAACTGAATTTTTTAGCGCTGAACTGTTTTAGTTCTTCTGTAGACAGTTGGAGCCGGGAAGTAAATAATTCTTCTGTAGAGCCAAAGGATGGAATTGCTGGGGATTTCACTGCAATATTACTTGTAAGAAAAGGTGTCGATTCTCCAAAGAGTGTATATATAGAACTGAAAGCAGGAGGTACAATTGCTTTTCCAAATGCTGTAGCAGGTGTGGTGTCTGGTGAAAAATTTGCAGAAAAGGGTTTTCCAAATCCTGAAAATCTAGATGTTCCAATTTCATCTGGTGTTGTAGCCATATTAAATGAAAAGGATCCTGCTGAAGAATCTGGCATATTATTATAGCCAACTGTAGGAGGAGCAACTGAAGAAAGTACAGCACCTTGGACATTAGGAAGGTTTCCAGATGAGACAGCAGCAGGTTCAGAAGATTTGAAAGAAAAGGCTTGACCAGTATTCCGTGTATCCGTAGGAAAGTCTGCAATTAAGGCATATAGAAAAAGTTGTAAGAATAGTCGCAATATTAAGAAAAAGAAAACTGCACTAAAGGGAAACTAAGATAATCAAAATGAAACATGCAGTGAAATGGATCAGCCAAAACAAATCCCTTACTTGATGTTCTAGGTGGCGGCATCCGCTCTCTTCCAAACCCAAATGGAGGAGATCGGTGATTAGTCACATTCTTCAATTCAGTGACCTTAAAAACCAAACATTTTGTTTTACTGCTTCAGATTAAGTATTTTGAAATACACATACTTACTGGCAATTACTTAACAGCTGGGTGCTTAAGGACTGTTGAAAATTATGATGGAGCCCAAAAAGTTACCACTTACAACTTTCCCTTAAAGTTATGATTTCTGCATCCCCCTGCAGTATTGTGATCACTTTTCAGCTACTTGGCAACCAGTTCCTGCTCATAACTGATTGCAGCTTCCAACTGTCATTGACTGCAGTTTGTAAGCTCTTTGCTTGTTTCTGGCAAAAAACATTCATTTGAGAGGATGGATTCGCTTAACAACCATGTGGTGACCCTCTTAATGACCACAATGACATACGACTAAAATTCTGGGCTCAGTTGTGGCTACTAAGTGAGAATGACTTAAATTAGAATGAGATAATTTTTATTATCTATTTTTTTCTACTTACATTGTTGTAAAATCTTATTTCATATGTATTTGCTTTAGCAGCAAGTTGCATTTTTTTTCCTGGCCTCTGCTCCAGAGAAACTTCAAGTTTCTATTAAAAGGGGCATAGTGCTCCTTTATTTTTCAACTTGGCAATTACCATCTTTTAAAATAAAAAAGGAAGCTTGTTTTTTTTATATATAAATTTGTTGGCAGGAAGGCAGGAAAAAAAAAGGCACCTTTTCTCAGAGACCTAGGCAAGGAAGCTAAATAAGACCTCAGGCATCTACCTGCTGGCTGAAGGTGGCACAACACTTCACATTTGGGAAACTAGAAGTCTAATCCAATTTCTAAACCTCTGGAGCAATATTTATATGGAGGGAATGTGATGTTCAAGCCTTCATACACTGGTAAACCTTTGCCTAAGAGCACAGAGAGGCCTATCTTATCTGATTTGTCCTTTATAATAGGCTCAAAATGAAAACTCAGACAAGCATTTATCTGCCTTGGACTCAACCTGTACAGATTAGCAGCAGATAAAAACTTGGTAGATTCCACAGGGAATCCTGATTATTTTCTTTATTATATTTCTATGCCACTGGTTATTTTTCTATATAATTCCCCACATGCCCTTGAATAAAATAAATGCTGAAAATGTGACCTAACATTTTGCCTACAATTTTAAATGTGTTTACAAAGGCTGCTAATTATATTAAATCCAGTTATCTGAACAGTAGTAGTTACAGTAAATTTAATCCCTCTTATCACTGAAACAAACTGGTAGCTTTCCTCTATTAATTCAAACACTGTTAGTTGACTTAATGCTCAAAATTATTACTGGTTTGAAAATCAGGAACAAAAATGTGAAAAAGATTTTTAAAAAATAAACACAACAAAACCACTTTTGACTCTCCAGTTATACTCACTGTTGCAGTTTTAGTAGAGGGAGTTGCATTCTTCAATTCATTCAATCTACCTTTCCACCGAGTAGCTAGTTGCTGGACTGAATTGACCTAAAAAGAGGAAGAAAGATTATTCATTAGTGCTTCACATTTCAAATATCTTTCTGGAAAAAAAATGTTTCAGCCTTCCACATTAAACAATATAGAGACTTACATAAGCTTGTGTGTTATTGTTTGCTTTACAGTTATAATACGCAAGACGCAACTCTTCTTGCAGAAAGTCAGAGAAACCTGTAAGGATAACAATAAAGACCAGAAAGGGAAATATTTTATCCCCATAATGAAAGACTGGTAACTATACATACAGATAAAATTTGTGGTTAAGAAAGACTCATAGGCAGTGTAATTCGTTAGGCAAATAAAGAAAAATACTACGTTCATTTTGTCTCTTAAGCCCCTGCAAAACCAAGTCAAAAATTTTGTCCATCTTCTACCAAGTGTCCCATATTGCCATTCACAACACTTGCTGTCTTCTGATGTTCATTTTTTCTCTCTAAAAAGCTAGGTCAATCAATTGCAAACTCTAGACCCGAGATGCCTACTTGAGATCTGGATATTACACATATGGTTGTCTCCTACATCTGATCACATATTAGAACAAAGGTGCCTTGTCTAAATTATTTTGGTCTAATTTTTAAATACATCTTATAGTGACCGATCTCTATATTCACCAGGCAATAGTAATTTTAAGGAAAATAAATTGAGCTCGCATGCTTTCCATTTTCTCCTGCTAATAGCTCCCAAGGTATCTAGCCTCCAATGGAGGATAAGAGTTTGGCCACATAATGAGTGTTCGTGTGGGCACTGTCCACAAATAAGAGATACCTGCAGAGGAGAATCAGGAGATGAGGGGATGTAGCTATTTTAGATTTAAAATATGCTCCATTGCAAACAGAACTGTTCTGTCCCAAATCATGCATTTAAGGCATTTAAAAAGTTGGCCAAGGAACTTTGCCTGGCAGAGTCTGAGAAGAGCCTTTTCTGCTGTGGCTCTTGCCCTCTGGAACATTGCACAGTACCCTTTGAGGTGAGATCCACCCCCACACTCACTCACCCAGCCTTCGAAAAAAACCTGAGAACCTGGCTGTGCAGGTTAGCCTGGGGCCTGGATGTAGGTGTTCCTTTCTGAAATAGAATTTAATCTACCTCCACCCCACTGGATATTCCTGCCATCTTAACTAATTCTTAATTTAATGCTATATTGTTTAAATATTTTATAATACTGTTTTACTATGTTGTAAGCCACCCAGAGTTGTCTTATGGCAAGATGGGCAGCAAATCAATTTAATAAATAAATAATAAGTTTAAATAGCCCACTCAATCCATAGTGCCTTAGTTACACAGATATGTGCAATGTCTCATCCAATGAGACCTGACAATAGAGTAATTTGTACCTGAAATATTAGGTTTTTCTTTCACTGGTGAATAGGAAGAAAACATCCATTGTCCAGAAGATTCCCAAATCTCCATGTCTTTCATTATTATTTCACTGAATAAATGATAATGGAAAGTTGTAACCCATACTAAACTGATGTAAAATCAAGCTAAGCTAATCTTAAGGTTTCACTCTTTTTAAACATGGAGACAAATCAAGACTTATTGAATATAATAAAAAGCATAGTTAATTTTATGAAGGACTTAACTACAATCCTTTTTCATTCCCACTGCAAATAGGACCTGATCTAAAATTGGTTAGTCTGACAGAGTAAGTTGTGATGAGAGTGCTGCTCTACAATCAAGAAACCACACCAGTAGGATAGTGCCTTTGCCCCAGGGTCTCTAGGTATACCTATAAAATGTCTACAAGTCAATTTGCATATTCTGTACGCAATTATAATACTCAGTTCAATGAACTGTATAAACAACGATGACTAAGAACTGAAGACATAGAGATTAAGATTGTTTTTAATTGTACATTTAAATCTCATAGTAATTAAAGAATTGGAAAAATGCCACTTACTGAAGATTTTCTTCTTCAGGTTGAATATCCTTATTCACATGTTCACTTGAATCTAATGCAGTAAATCTATTCTGAGAAAAATTTGAGGATCTGGGATCTTTGTTGCTTTTCCACGTAGAAGATTTTGAATAATTAGATGCCTGCAAACTAGCAGAATAATGATGCGGTCTACCCCGAGTTCCTCTTCTGTTAGAGTCTGAATGAAAGAGAACACTATGTGTCAAACATTTATCTTCTTTGCAATAAAAACATAATTTAATCTAATTTAATATAATCTATTTTAACATAATTTAATCATAGAATTAAGTAACAGAAATGGGCCTCATAAAGACTACTTGACCGGGTACAAATTCAAGACCTACAGAAAATAACTCAAATGTAAATCCCATGACAACAGAATCCATATTATTACAAGCTTAGTACTCTTGTTCCATACTTAATTACTTTACATTGTAAATTGAGATTTCTATCTCACCAAATTACTTCACAACTGTGATAATTTTTATTCCTGTAATGTGCCCCTTCTGGTGACTGTATCCCTTTTAAGGAGGTCTATCAGTCTCCAACACTGTTCTCTTCTTGCCTCTTTTTTGCATTCCAGCCTATCTGACCTTCTGCTTTTTCCATGTTAGTCTGGTGTAAATTCTGGTAAGAGGTCTGGTTTCTGCAGCCAGGATGCAGGTCAATTCCTGCAGAGTCTGAGGTCTGTGAGAGGCAAACTCTTTTCCTTTTACAGCCCCATTTTAGCCAAAACTTATTTTTTCATGGAATGTTTATTGAACTCCTTTAGTCTAAGCCACCTCCACTTGTATGGTTGGATATCACACCTTTTGGGTATCCCAATTATGTATCTATCTCACCTCTACCATTTGTACATTTGTGGTAGAGGTAGCCTTTTTTACATATATTCAAGTCAGTGGGCTCCAAAATCTAAGAGAGCCAATACACAGAGCTCAAAGGCTAGTATTCACTGCTTCCTACTCCACTCTTTCCCATTTCTACACCTCCTCCTACTGCTACTCCTCCAATTACTATTTATGTCCTACTGGTAAAGAACAGCTTAGGCTGCTTTAGGTATACACACACACACACACACACACACACACAGAGCCCTCCCCCACACCATACCCAGCTGCCTCTGCTCAGTTTTTATAAGTAACAATTGCTGTGTTGGCTAGGGAGAGGCCTGAAAGAGACAGGACAATAGCAGCACAGGTGCTGGCTATTTTGTAGGATGTCTGTCCTCACATCTTTATCAGTGCTGGACTTAAATTCTGAGAATTTGCAGAGACCACAACGAGCCAGTGTTCCAACAGCTGAGCAAGAGAAGTGTGTATAAACTAGCATTTACAGTAAATTGAAATAAAGCAAACAGCCTTTGTTTGTTTAATCTCTATAGGTGTCCAAAAGCCTAACAAACTTTAATGGCATCTCACCATTTTTGGAACCATGTGATTTTCTCAATAATTGCAATTAATTACACGTTGCTGTGGCAGCTGAAGTGGAAGAGACCTAAATGAACGGAAAACTCAGGGTGGGATGAATTTAGTTCTACTCAAAGTAGATCCCACTGAAATCCATATAAGACTAACATGTTTATTTCATGAGTACGATAACAACTTCAAGTACACTGGCTGAGTAGTAATTACAGAACGAGACTGCATTGCCCATTAACATTGCTTTTGTAACGAACCTTGTTTTAATCTTATTTAATGGATTTCAATATTTTTTGAATTCCGTTTTAACTTTGTTAACTGCTATAGGATTCTCTTGCAAAGACAGCGGTCAAGAAATAAGTCTAAGCATCCTAATAAAAAGTACGGGCAAGTTTGGCTTCAACCTATCACAGTAAAAGAGGCTGGGTGGTGGTGGTGGTGAAGAGCAAGATACAAGCAAACTAAGTAAAAACCAACACTTGTCCGAATGCCTCTGGCAGCCTAGAAGGCGGGAGTGGACCTTTCTCTCACGAGTAAATAACCATTATGCAGCCACGTTCCCTGCGGGAAGAAAGCCTAGAAACTGCAAGTGGCGACCCTTAACGGCTAATGGAGCACCCAAATCCCCTCCGCACCTGAGTTTTGACCAAAGGCCTGGCTGGCTCTGCCACCACGTGGATGCTCATACCAGCATCTATCACCGAAACGGCAGTTGCCCTGTAAGTAGTAAGAGCAAACCCAACCAGAATTACGAGCCATGAGAAGGCAACGTCTCACCACCGCCAATACAAGTTTCCCGCTTTGCTTCTACTACCGTATCCGCTCCGCAAGATTTTCTCCAGGGCTAGGCAGTATTTATAGTACGACTTGGGCGTGCCTTAATCAGGGCGTCTAATGATGACGTAAAGACGACAAGTCTACCCTGGCGGAAGTAAATACATTGGCAGATTGCCCTTCAACATTGTAAAAAGTAATTGGTTTTTGTTTTTTAATCTAAGATATCTCGTTACATTTAATTAAAAAGAACAGGCACCCGAATATATAGTGATAAGAATTTAATGCGCCTTTAAAGGCGACATTCAGCAGGAAGTCTCTGTATTGTGCCACTAATACCAATCCCACTTTTATATTTTGAAATTAGAAGGGTTGAGAAAATGGGGAGGAAAGACCTATCTTTTACACAACATGCTCCGTCATAAACTGATCAAACTTTTTAATGTCGTGTATTGTGCATGCCTAGCAACCAAACACATCTTGGTTGGTTACAAGTTTTGTGATGTAGAAATAGTTGCATATATTTAATTGAATTTAGAAGTTACAAATAATGGAAGAACAATGATTTGTATTTAATTCTGGGTACAATAAAAACTTTTTTGTTATGGTAGAAACATTGTAAGTCTGAAGTAGTGCAATCTTGGATTTATTTGTGTTCATCCTTTTGATTAACAAAATTGAAAGACTGATTCGTTTTACTCCACGTGATCATGTTTTAATGGGTGGTTTTTTAATTGAGTTTCCCTTTTTGTTTTGTTAGTTTCTTATTTCATATTTTAAATATTGTATTACTGGTTCTTTTTTCATACCAAAGCAATGGCATTTATTTAACAAGTAGTTTCAGTGTTTTATCATCATTATGACTTTTGTCCCCTTTTGATTTATTTTCCTTGGAGGCTTCAAATGATAAGATGCTAGTAGCACAGTAGTAGATACCGGTATGTAGTAGTGGATTTTGGCAACTATAATGTTTTCTATGAAGTTGTAATTGTAAAATGTCTATTTCATCACAACTATCGAAGAGTTAGGGTCTTATTTTCTAAGTGTAGCCACTGTTAAATTATAATTATGTCCTAACAGACAGTTGAAGATACCTTCCTCCTCTATTTCCTCCACAACAATCCTGTGAGGTTGGACTGATAGTAACTGGCCCAAATTCACCCAGCCAGCTTTAAGCTAAGGCTGGACTTGAAATGACAGTCTCCTGCTTTTTAGCTGGTGCCTTAACTACTCAGTCAGTTGGCTTTCCCTTGCCACTTTTATTTTCAGGAATGCTTTTAGATCCAAATAAAAATACTAGGCAATTATAGTTTTATTAAGTCCCTTGTTTTGAAATGTAAAGCAAGATAGTGACAGAGCTTAATGGAAAATAGTAGTTGTGGAAGATGCTTTATGGTTTGCAGGGAGGGGTGATGTTCGCCATTTTTCATTTAGTGTTTTGTAAGGAATATTGTCTGTGGTTGGTGTTCAACTCTTTTTGATTATCAATCTGTATTTTGTGAAACTGATATAGTACTATGCTGTGATTTTTGAAATCAAATATTAAAATAATTTGGCATAAGTGATCTTTGAATTTATGGTTTGTCTTCTATGAAAATTATTGGAGTAGGAAACTCTTCAAAATAGTAGAGTGCTTCCCCTCCCCCATCTTTGTGTTTTTAAAATAAAGTTATTTTGCCTTCTAGGAAAATGTTTTGGAGTAGCTATATCCTTCAGGCACATACTGTGGTGCAGCAATCTAATACTGTCTGAATTCACGCATACTAAGCCACAATGTAATCTGCTTTGTTTTGGCTTAGCATATTTATGAACCTAATGATTAGTGAAACCCAAGTTTGCAATATATGTGAGATTGTATGGCAGGTGGCTCCCGAAGATTAAGGACCATTGGACAAAAAGAGGTTCCTACATTATAATCTTGCCAAAATAATCTCCATATTACATCTTGCATGTGATCCAAAAATCACAAATCAGTGGCATAGATCAGGGCTTTTCAACCAGTGATACGGGTACCACCTGTGGTACATTGGCACCTGGCAGGTGGTATGCGACCACCCTAGAAAAGTGGTAGCGGGGGAGGGGAATGAGCTGAACCGTGGCAGCACCGCACAAGCCTGAGCGAGAGATGGCTGGAGCTGCAGGACTGTCAGGGCTCAGCGGAAGCACCAGGATCAGTGCCAGGCTCCAGCTGGAAAGCAGCA